TCTTGCCCGATTGCGATTGTGGGAGCGCTGCACGTCTGTACGTGATTCAAGTCCGGCGCTGGCTCCTGATTTGGGGACGTGCATGCTGCTTTAGGGGAACAGCAGAGCCCGGGCTCAGCGCTGTTCCCGCTGCTCCCGGACCCCGGCCCGCCATCCTTTGCCCCGCTCACTACAGAGAGGAAAGGGAAAGCCCAATGAGCACCTTCTGTTGCTTTTATTTTTATTTATTTATTTATCTATCCTCACCCAAGGATAGTTTTCTTTATTTTTTTAACTTTGTTTTATTGCTGAAAGTATTACAAAGAGTAGTACATATGTCTCCTTTTTTCCCTCCCTTGACTTTCCCCCGGCCTCCCCTCCCCCCCAGTGTGTTGCGTCCATTGGTTATGCTTACATGCATGCAGACAAGTCCTGTTGATCTCTTACTCCCGCCCCCACCCTCCCCTGCCTTCCCGCTGTAGTTTGACAGTCTGTTCGATGCTGCTCTGCCTCTGTATCTGTTTTTGTTCATCAGTTTATAATGGTCCGAGGATATTTTTCCATTGGTTTTTAGAGAGAGTAGAAGGGAGAGGGAGAGGCAGAGAGAGACGTCGATGTGAGAGACATCGGTTAGTTGCCTCCTGAATGCACCCCGACGAGGGCCAGGGAACCTGCAGCCAAGGCATGTGCCTTGACTGGAATCGGACCCAGGATTCTCCAGTCCTGGGGCTGACACTGTCTCCACTGAGCCAAACCGGCCAGCGCACCTTCTGCTGCTTTTAAAGAAACATTTCTCTGAAGTTGAGTTCCACTCAGTGCTTCTTCAAGGCAGAGTCAAAAGGCCCGGCTGCTTCTGGGCCAGCCCCGCCCTGGTGGGTCCTCCGGACACAGGTTCAGGCAGCAGCCCTGGTGGGCGACACCCGCTCACAAGGACGTCGGAGGCTCCTCAGAGTTCTGGGTCGGCTATTGTCCCAGGGCTGCCTTTTGCCTCCCCTCCTCCCCCCTCCCTGCCCCCCTGCCCCGAACAGAAGCACTTTTCTAACTGACGCCTGGATCTCACCCTCTGGCCGGTCCTTCTGCGACACGGTGACGAGCTGGAGTCAATTCAGCAGCTGAGGCAGGAGACAGAGGGTGTGGACTGAGGCAGGAGACAGAGGGTGTGGACTGAGGCAGGAGACAGAGGGTGTGGACTGAGGCAGGAGACAGAGGGTGTGGACTGAGGCAGAGCGGAGGGTGGGCGGGAGGAGTGGGATCTGAGGTTCCAAGGGTGAGTTGGGAGGACTTAGACCTGGGTGTGTAGGGGAAGTCCCCCAGCGGGTAGCCAGGCGAGGCAGAGGGAGACCGTGGGGATGTGAGGAGCAGGTGGGCAGGGGAGATGCCCTGTGGGGTCTTCAGAGGCGGAGGGCAGGGGCGGGAAGGTAGGAGGGCAGGGGCGGGAAGGCAGGTGGGCAGGGGAGATACCCTGTGGGGTCTTCAGAGGCGGAGGGCAGGGGCGGGAATGCAGGTGGGCAGGGGAGATGCCCTGTGGGGTCTTCAGAGGCGGAGGGCAGGGGTGGGAAGGCAGGTGGGCAGGGGGATGCCCTGTGGGGTCTTCAGAGGCGGAGGGCAGGGGCGGGAAGGCAGACACAGCGAGCCCTCGGTGCTGTGGAGAGAAATGCCTGAGACAAGGGCACGACTGTTTGGTTTAGAAAAACTTTGCTTAGTGACCTCATCTCCGAGAGCTTGAACACTGTCCACTGTAAACGAAGTTGGAAAATATTACTCCGGAAACGGCCACTCTGAGGCTGCTCAGACCGAGCAGTGCCAGGAAGTCCGCAGTGTCCTCACGGCGCCGGAGCCGGTGGGGCTGGGGCCTGGAGGGGGCCAGAGGCTGGCGTTCCGGCCCATCAGGCGTCTGCGGACAGACAGACATGCAGACCCACGAAGATCCGGGAAGTTCCCCATGGCCCTTGCGTATGCAGCCAAGGTCACCGCTTCTAAGAAGCCGCTGGAGCCTCCGGCTCTGTCCCCAGCTGAGGGGACAGCCGGCCTTGCTCTCCCCGGGCTGCGGGTGCACTCGGCAGTACTCGGTGTGGGTTTCTGCCCACTACCTGGGTCTTTCCTGGTAGATGGGGGGTGTGAGAATAGGAAGTATCAAATCTCAATTTTGTTACTTTACTGATGATGATGATGGTGGTGATGGTGATGGCATTAAAGGTGGTGGGCTCGATTCCCAGTCAGGGCACATACAAGAATCAACCAATGAATGCATAAGTGCAACCACACATCGATGGTAGGAGAATGGTTGAATCGTTGTGTTACATACATTAAATGTTATACAACATTAAAATCAACAAAGTAGATCTATGTGTATTGACACAACTGTCTTTTTGTTGTTAAGTTTATTGATTTTAGAGAGAGAGAGAGGGAGAGAGAAACATTGATTTGTTCTACTTACTTATGCACTCATTGGTTGATTCTTGTATGTGCCCTGACCTGGGATCGAACCCATAACCTTGGTGTATGGGATGATGCTCTGACCTACTGAGCGACCCGGCCAGGGCTGTGATAAATTGTTAACTGACAAAAGCATGTTGTGGAAAAATCTGTATAATAGGAACACATTTACCTAAAATAATAATTGTAAAGAAAAAGAAAAAAAATTTGCAAAGGTCACACCTGATTCTGAGCTCTGGCTCCCTGTGGGCAGCAGGTGGAAGAGGCGTGTGTAGGGGGGATTGACTCTTATGTGTTACCGTGTTATTTCATTTTGACAAAATCAGCAGGAGTCCATTTGAAATAGTTGAAGCAGCGAATAAAGGTGCTAGGGCAGCGTTATGTCCAGAGTCCCATGGGGACCCAAGAACCCGATTGGAGGTGGGAGACGGTCAGAGAAGGCCCTGGAGGAGGGCCCGGCCTGGCGAGTTCAGGGTGGACCTGGTCAGCACGTGGAGGGGCCCCGAGAGGCGGAGAGCATCCTGCTAGGGGCACCCCCCGCTCTCCGGTGGCGGTGGTGGCAGGGCAGCTGGCCGCCCCCGGCTTTAACAGCCCACCCTCACCCCCACCCCCACCCCCCACCCCTGGTTGTCCTGGTCCTTCCCTCCCCAGGGCGTCAGCCACTTGTCGCCTCTCAGTTGTACTGCTGCGGCTCAGCTCAGACTTCCTGTTTCTCACCTGGACGATGGCGAACACCCCTAGCGCGTCTCCTGGTGCCTTGTCTGCACCCCACGTCCTCCTGCCTGAGTGCCTGGCCTCCAGTTTGCCGAGTGATCTTCTCAGAATGCAGCTTGGACCCTGCCGTCTTCCTCCTTAGCCGTTCTCCACGATCCTTCCCAGGTTCTGGGGTCTCACCCCCTTTCTGGAGCCCAGAGCAGCCCTGCCCACCTCCCCTCCTGCCCACCTCCCCTCCTGCCCACCTCCCCTCCTGCCCCCCACACTGACTCCTATTCATGTTCCCTGGAGTCTTTGTCACTTCTTTACAGATGCCACCGTTTTAACAAACAAGGTGTAGCCGGAGGTAAAGAAAGCGCATGGTGATGTGGGCTTAGTAGTTGGCTGTTGGACTATTATTACCTTGAACATGTTCTGACTAGTTACCCCCTTTTCTGGAGTTAATGGTCACAGTTTCATCTTATCCTGAGGCAGCCTTTTAGAAGTGAATACATTTCAGGGAAAATGGCCTCGTCTTTCCTGCCTTTGGCGCTGTTTTGTTCCGTCAATATTCGTCAATATTCTGGAGTCGGCGTTTCCAGCGGCAGGGGCCTGAGGGTCTGGTACTTGTCTGTACAGGGGCCACGCTGCCTTCACAGCAGACATGCTGTTCTGCAGACACGACTAGGACTGAAGAGTCCCTGTTTGCTTTGGCTACACTTGGAGCTAACGGGGACGGGGAGGGGGAGGTGGGGGGCAGGGGGGGGGGGGGCAGGGGGAGGGGGGTGCTCCGTGTATAATCAGATGGGCCCGGAACCGAGAGAGGGTCCTGGGAGGTGCTCTCTAAGGCATGCTGCATAGTCTCTTGCCATGCTCCTCTCCTCCGAATCTGTGTCTTTATTTTTATATCACCAAATAGTGGGAAATGCTGGGTGCAGCTTGCTGACTTTCAGAAACGCTTGTACTTTATAAACACATTCGCGGCAGGAGGAAAGTGATGGAGTGCTGTTGTCTGGCTCCCTCTGGTGGACAGTTGTATGGAAACGTCAAACTCAAGTTTTGCAGTGGGAGAGGGGGACAGGTTGTGAACAGTTCTGGTTATTGGTAGCAAAAGGAACAGAAAATGCATCTTGTGGATGTATGGTCATTCTCATAGAAATTCTCCCCAATAATAGCATAGTAAAATGCATAGCAATACTAGTTTCCTTTTGATTGCGCGGTGATACTGCTGAAACCAGTGTCAAACAGGAAATTACTAGCTACTAATGCTACAGCCATGGCTGGGTACGTCTTCTTAAGGGACCTTGAAACAGGTAGATGAGCAGGGGTACATACAAGCAACTCCTTTTCCTGAAACACACAGAATTAGAATAAGGTGATTTTCTTCAAGTTGGAGATTTTCAAGAATGGCTACCATTGAAATATTTTGCATGTGTTATCTTTGTAATCCTTACAGTAATCTAATGACTATAATAATCTATTATTGTATGCCATATCCTGATGAAAAGAAACTGCAGCCCGGAGAAATTAAGTCATTTGTCCACGGTTATGTGACTAATAAGTGGTAAAGCCAGGATTTGAACTGTGGGGTCTGGCCCCAGAGCCCACATGCTCCGTCACATTGCTGCCCAGCAGGCTGACCGGCGGAACTTTCTGTGACGATGGGGAAGTTTTCTGTGTGTGTGGCTATTGAGCATTTGAAGTGGGGTCACTTCCAGAAAGGGACAAAATTAAACCGAAGGTGTTATACTGCCACTCCCAGCTCTTCCATTCTGCACCTCTTTGGCGCCTGCAGATTCACGTGTCTGCTGCCATTGCTAAACTACTATTTTGTGAAAAGAACTTATCTTTCCTGAAATACACTTTCAATGAACACGACCCTCTGTTCTCAGGTGATAGAAACGCTATCGCGACTCTCCCGAACACCCATCGCGTTGGCCACAGGAATCAGGTAAGCGTGTTTCTCCGCGGCCCATGTTCAGTGTAACGATGGCTTATTCAGTAGTCACTGTTTGCAAAGCATGTTGCATGCGAGGACTGCTTCTCACTCATGCAGGCTGCCTGGTAGGTAAGTGCCAACACACGTTTGACACTTACTGAGCAACTAAAAACATATTCGCAGAGCTGAATGAGACCCGTTGGCCAAACATGGTTCTCGTTCTACTGGTGACTATCATTGATATGGTTCTTTTTTTAAAACTCCCTTCAACATTTCTATATATGTGATTCATCAAGGCAAACACACATGCTGGTGGCATGTAAAAAAAAAGTAACACGTTGCCTCTGTAGTCTGATTTCTGTGACTTTGTTAGACATGGATTTAGAGCATTATGTGCATGTTATCAAATGTGTCACAGAAGCATGAGGCACAAAGGATGCTCATGGCTAGGAATAGGGGATCAATGACAGTGATTTCCTTTGAACAGGGAGCAGAGAAAACATCCTATTCTCCCTGAGGTCCGATTGACTCATTTACCCAATAATTGAAAAACACACACAACTTGAACACCTTAACTAATAAGTCTAAGTGGAAAAATATATCAGAGTCAATAATCATATATACAGGGCGCAGTATTCTTGCCTTCTAATAATTTTCATTATTAGGTTGTCACCCAGTTATTTGTCAAGAGTGATTGTCACCTAGTTGTTTGTCAAGAATGATTGCCACCCAGCTATTTGTTAAGGGTGATTGCTACTCAGTCATTTGTCAGTCACATCAGCATCCGCAAGTGAGAAGAGCTGGTGTTGAAGGCAGGCCTGCCCTCTGCCAGGAGGTGAGCCTGCAGAGTTGTGGCTGGTGGGGAATCCACTAAGCACAGCAGCCTGTCCCCAGCTGCTCCGAGGACTGGGTGACCAGCACACCTGCTGCTGATGCGCTGGGGTAGCAGGTGCTTGGTCTCCCCGGGGACCCCCAGACCCAGCCACGCTGGGAGGAATGCCAGGCACTGTCTCAGACGCGGTGACTGACCGGCCCGCGCTGGCGGCAGGCGGGCTGACACGGTTCATGAGAGGCCATGCCCCGCTGGATGCCGCTTGCTCACCTGTTTTTCTCTCCCTCCCTGCCCCAGGCCCTTCCCAACAGAAGAGAGCGTCAGCGATGAGGACATCTACAAAGCCCTCCCCGACCTGATAGAGTACGTGAGCGCTTCCTTTGTGGGTTGTAGCTGGGGGCGTTGGCAGAGCGCCGTGAAGGGGACAGTGGCCAGGGGCTGAGGTGCCGGGGTCCAGCCCCAGCAGGTCCAGGGGTTCCCAAAGGCGTAGACGGAGTCGGCGAAGAAGAAAGGACACGGAGACAGTGTTCAGTTGATCAGCAGCCTAGCCAGGATCTCCAGCCAAGTTCTGGTCTGGATTTCCAGCGAAGTTCTGGTTAGGATATCCAGCCAGGTTCTGTCCAGGTTCTCCAGTCAGGTTCAGTCACCAGGTTCTAGTCAGGTTCTCCTGCCAATTTCTGTAGTCAGGTTCAGTCCAGGATCTTTTGCCATGTTCTCTCGCTAGGTTCTGTCTCTAGGTTCTGTGGCCAGTTTCTGTCCAGGATCTTTTGCCATGTTCTCTCCAGCGAAGTTCTTCTGTCTGTAGGTTCTGTGTAGGTTCTGTCTTCTTAGTTCTGTGTTCTAAGCTCTGTATTCTAAGTTCTGAGACTTGCTGTCTTGTTACATCTGTATTTATACCAGTTGATTCAATCCTATCAATCTCTATTACAAAGGTTAGGGCGTTTCTTATCTCCATTCCAGGGAGTAAAGATTATGTAGCTTAAGCATGATTGTTTGTAGTTATAGTGATTAATTACCCGCCTGGCACTTAGTTGAGGGATTTTATTCCCTCTCTAACTTCAGGGGAAAATCCCTACCTGGGGGAACAACCTTTCTCAGAGACCTTGGTTAAAACACATAGTGCCAAGAAGGTGAGCAAACATATTAAGAACAGTATGCCATATATGCCAGGTCCTTTGAAACAGCAAGCATGGACCGGCTCCCGGCACTGAGGTGTTTAAGAATCAACCCCAGACCCGGGGGGGAAAGCGTCCGAGACAGTGGACTTCCCTGGGCTCCGGGTTGCCTTTGTGTGGCCCACGCGTGCAGGGCTCTCTGAGGAGTAGAGAGGCAGGCCGCCGCCAAGTCAAATTTGAGCCCTTCCCAGGCATGTAGAGGTGGAGGCAGAGGAGTGAGGCAGTGAAGGGACGTGGAGCAGACCCTGCACCCCTCTCCTGGAGAGGCAGGGCAGACGGTGCCCGCTTGGCAGGTGCAAGGAAGGTGCCCTCCAGCAGGAATGTGGTCTGAAACCCACTGCACGAGGTCTTGGCAGTGACAAGCCTGCAGAAAGTGGTGCCTCTGAAAGACTGTTGGTCACGTGCTAGGTCCCCTTCAGCTCCCCATCTTCTCCGTACCCTACCCTTCGATAGTGTGATCAGCGCATCCCAAGTGTGAGGCAGACTTTTCAGTCCGGCCCTGCACGGACCTGTGTTGTCTGGGGCCAGTCCAACGCCTTGTTGTCCTCTCGAAGTCTTGATCGCGATGCTGGACCCACTGATAGGGCCTACCTGACAGCACCACCGATGCCGGCCTGGGGAGCCGGCGGGCTCCTGCAGAGGGGTCAGGGGGCACTGTGCATAGTCAGCACGTGGTGAATGTCCATGTCGCTGCCATCGCTGTTGGGTGCTGTTGTCATTGTCACTGTCCCTGTAGGAGGGACGGAGCCGTCACCTGAGCCTCCGACGCCACGAATTACATTTATGTCCCCTCTGGATTTTCCATGGGAATCCAGGAAGTTGCTTCTAGCTCCTGCGTTTCCTACCAGTGACCTTTCTCCCGTGCCCTTCGTTCCAGCGAGACCCACGTGGAGGATGAGGAGGGCCTGTATGACTGTGTCTACGGGGAGGACGAAGGCGGAGAGGTCTACGAGGACTTAATGAAAGCGGAGGAGGCGCAGCAACCCGTAGGCACCCGCCTTGTTTTTTTTCTTTTGAGTTACTCTGGGTGTTTTATTGGGCAAATGACAATGTTAAAGACTCAATGTCATTGTTTATGGAACTTCTGCTGGGATGGCTTTTTTGTTTGTTTTCTTTCTCACCTTTGCCCATTACGTGTATGTTTGATGCGACATCAAATCTAAAAGAATGTTTACCTGCTTTGTAACAGAAGATTTTCTTTCATAACAATACAATTCCACGATTCCATGAAATTAAGCCCCATTGCTCCTCTGCTATTGTTCTACTGGTGACATGTCACTTATCACTCAGATTTGGTTTCCTTACCAGTAAAATGAGAGGATTAGACCAGAGACTCCCAGGGTTGTTTTGACTGTAAAGCGCCACGTTTCTATGGCTCCAGATGCAATAACAGGTCATGGTTACTAGTTATAACCACGCCGATCTCTCGGTTATGTGTTTTGTTAGAAATGGAAAGCTTCAGAAAACCAGCAATGATTTTGATCTCTTTCTAGTTTCCGCCAGCGAGATTAACACATGAATTTGATTAACTGATTTTAATGGGATCCTTCTAATTGCAGAAATGTCAAGAGAATGACATACGAAGTTGCTGCCTCGCAGAAATCAAGCAGACGGAAGAAAAGTACACAGAAACACTGGAGTCAATAGAGAAAGTAAGTGATCAGGTGGCACTCTTGAGGCCCCTCCTGCCCGGCGTGGCGAGCGTGCTGGGCTCAGTATTTCCTCTCTCTCTGTGTGTGTGTGTGTGTTCTGATTTTCAGTAGAACTTTGGGTGTACAGATCTCAAAGCAGATTTAATCCTCCCACAACTCTTTATTGACTGATTTCAGTATCTGCGTGCAGAGATTGAGAATATAGCAGTGAACACAATAGAACTCTGGTTCTCGGTCATGGAAGTTATAGAATTTTATAATGCTTCATCTGTCTTTTCCATTGTGTGTTCACCACCCAAAGTATTTTATGCTTTAAATGTATTAACTTGTATTTATGTCTTTCTATCTCTGTTCAAGTCTGTGATTTGTAAGGCAGAGAAAATTGTTTCTGCTGTTTCTTGGACATTCATAATACTGATAAACAACCGACTTTCAGTAAATATTTATTGTTTGTTGATGACGATCTGTTATCTAGATTAGGATGAGTTGTCCTTAATTCTTATTCTCTCTCCTCTCCGGGTAGTTTTTCATGGCACCACTAAAACGATTCCTGACAGCAGCAGAATTTGATTCTGTCTTCATCAACATTCCCGTAAGTGAAACTATGCTAGCTAAACGTGGGGTACTTCTGTAAAATCCTCATTGGGGTTCCAGATCCCTGTTGTAGCATTCTCTGGTATTCTTTAACAATTTTGACTCTATTTTCTGCCTCTTGAGTTCTTATAGCTATATTCTCGAGAAATAGCTGATAAGTCATATTGTTAAGAAAAAGTCACTCAGAATACATGCAGAAGACACATGGATAAGATTCATGTTGAGGGTGTCTTAGTTCAACAGTCCCTGGGCTCCTGTCTGTGTCTGGGGGAGTCCCCCTTCTGGCCCACTCACTGCTCCGTGGCTCCTCCAGCCCCTCAACCCCGTCTTACCGACACTGTCCTGACTCCTCCGGCTCCTCACTCCTACCATTCCTCCACTGTCTTGGTGTCTCTTTTCTGCTTCCAGTTATATCAACCTTAACTCCAATTTCTGAAATACATGACTTCCTTATGCTTCAACAGCCTATTCTATTTATTTATTTAGAATATATTTTTTTATTGATTTCAGAGAGGAAAGGAGAGGGAGAGAGATAGAAACATCAATGATGAGAATCATTGATCGGCTGCCTCCTGCACGCCCCCTACTGGGGATGGAGCCTGAAACCTGGGCATGTGCCCTGACCAGGAATCAAACCGTGACCTTCTGGTTCATAGGTCAGTGCTCAACCACTGAGCCATGCCACTGGGCTCAGTAGTCTATTTTAATAGGTTATGTAAGCATTTCAAGTTTCAGAGCACCTTCCAATGGTTTTATTATCCTAAAAGAATATTTACTTGGAAGCATGAAGCCAGGCAAACGCTATGCCAACTGAGGTCATGCTGGGCAAGACTCATGTTTTGAGGCCTCTGGAGCTGGCTGTGGTCTTACTGCACAGCTTTCATGTGTAATATGTCAGCCTTTGTGTACAGGCGTGCTTGCATCGCCTGACTGGCCCCGTCTGTTTTGCTTCTTTACGTACATTGTGGACGTGCCCTAGTCGGCTAGTTGGGGCATGTTGGTCTTGTCCTTGATTTGGGCCCAATGAAGACATTCTCATTGATTGTAACATCACAGGAAGGAAGGTCACAATGTCAAGTGAACAGTTAGGAAATAACCAAGTGCACGTTCTAGGAAGATGAGGACCTTGAACCACCCAAATATGGTCATTGTAATCGATGACCCCATTGGACAGGCCTTTTCATGAGCCTCAGCCAAAGGACAGGCCCACCCGTCTGACATGGCTCAGTGATTGAGTGTTGACCTATGAACCAGGAGGCCACGGTTCCATTCCTGGTCCGGGCACATGCCCGGGTTGGGAGCTCAATTTCCCAGTGTGGGGTGTGCAGGAGGCAGTGATCCATGATTCTCTCATCATTGATGTTTCTCTCTCCCCCTCTCCCTTCTTTTCTGAAATCAGTAAAAAATATATAAACAAACAAATAACCCCCCCCCCCCCCAAAGCCAAAAGGACAGGCCCAACATATTCCTGGTTCCTTTGGGCAGTGAAGTCAGGGAGTCTCAGGGCCCAGGGGAGGGGATAGTGGGGGGCTGGCCCCTTGGTTCCATGGCTGTGCCTGGCAGGACCATCTGACTGGAAATTACTTGCCTGTCAGGAAACATGTGACATCCTGCCTGTGAGGAGCTCGGTCAGCCTCCTTGTCCAATGTATTCGCTCCTCTTTCTGCCCCAGTTGTCTGGTGATTTAGCCCGACTGTTTGAGCTCAGCCCTGGGACACCACTAATTGACCGAAGTGTAAATCTACATTTCCATGCCCACCGGACACGAGTCCCCACTTATCTTGTCAATAAAACATTAAGCACTTGGTAGTTGAATTGAAACATTTACAGCAGTTACAAAATGAAAATGAGCTGTGCATATTTCTATACAAGGAATAAATTACCCTTTAATAACCAGTGAAATAATTTCTCTCGCACAGGACATGGGCATTTCCAGTCAGATCTGAAATTGCTGTTTCATGTGGCCTGTCACTCTCCCGTCCTCTGCCCTCCCCTTCCCTTCCCTCCTCCTCTCCACTTCCTCCCCCTCCTCCCCTCCTCTCCCTCCTCTTTTTACACATGTGGATGCGAGCAGGTTTCTGTACTGAGTGCCTTTAGTGTGTCCTTGGATGGCAATTCTAGCAGCAATAGGGATTCTGGGGTCCGGTGATTTGTTGTTGTTGTTCTGATTTCTAACTAACTTTGACCTTGCTTTCTTTTCTAAGGAACTTGTAAAAGTTCATCGGAACCTAATGCAAGAAATTCACGATTCCATCGTAAATAAGAATGACCAGAACTTGTATCAAATTTTCATTAACTACAAGGAAAGGTAACTTCTGAATTTAAAATGTTGGGGCTGTTCGCTGGTCATCATGGTGAGGGTCAGTGTGAACACAGCTCATGGGTAGGAATCAGCACTGTTCATGCGGACACGTGGGGTGGCGGGTAGAACCCGGGACCTGGGACCTCTGGTGGCAGTGAGCTCCACGTGGGTGACAGAGCAGTAAGCGGAAAGGAAAAGAAGGAAAAGGAAAAACGGCTGCAGACGGCTGCCCTGCCCGTCAGTGCGGACTCGCCCACCCTGTCCCCGCGTCCTCTGGTTTCAGGAAGTCTCGCCAACTCGCCCGCCTCCTCCTCCCCACCTGTACGTGTCGGCTGTGGGGGAGCTGCTACCCGGTGCCTTTTCCATCTCTCATATCTTATCCTTCTCCGTGATGGGGTATTTGATTCACGATGCACGTCAGTTTCCCTTTGTAAGTTAGAGAAGAAAAATCTTCCCACCAGCTCCCATGAATTGGGAATTTAGCTTAAAATTTTACACCAAGCACCATAGCTCCTAATGCTGACTCCGAAGTGGCTCATAAATTGCTGTGCATCAACAATTAGACAAACACGAACGTATCAGTAGAGTTAAAAGAAACAGTAAATTCCCAGCCCCTTTGGGAAATTTCTGTGTCCCCCCGGGGCCCCCCTGTGGAGCAGGCTGAGGCCCTGCGGGGCGACGCACCTGCTTCCCGCACAGTCCGGGCCCCGTCCCCTCTCCAGAGGATGCATTTTCCCAATTAAAAGGAGGACGGACGGGAGGCGATGAGTGAATGGAGTCCTAAGTAACGATTACAGTACAGTTGTAGCGCCACACAACCTGGCTTCTGTGTGTGAGGAAACAGTGAAACGCTGGCCTCTAATGGGCACTTGGCAGCTGACCTGCGACGTTCTGTTAGTTTCCGGTGGACAACGTACTGAGTAGACATTTATATAACGGGAGCTTAACCGGAAATTTTAAATTTTGTTTTGTGTGTATATTTGTACTCAACACCTACAGTCGTCAAGCCAGTTTTTAAAACCCACCTGCTGTAAAAATGTCCGCGCAATGGGCCCCGGTCAAACGTAGAAATGAAAGGGGTTGTTTCTAACACCCTCCCTGTGCGTGATCCTCCTCGCTGGCCGCCTGTGGGGTGTGAGAGAGAGAGGAGTGCGAGGCTGAGCTGCGAGGCTGGGAGGGAGCCGCTTGCCGGGGTTCCTGGGCAGCGGGTGCCGACAGGCGAGGTTTGCTCTGTGTCTCCCTCGCTGTGGGTTTGGAGGCGGAAGTCCTGCCTCTCCCCCTCCATGTCCGTGCTCTGCTGTCCTAGCGACTTCCTCCTCGTCTCGCTCCCTTCCAGGCTGGTGATTTACGGGCAGTACTGCAGCGCCGTGGAGTCGGCCATCTCCAGCCTGGACTACGTCTCTAAGACGAAAGAAGACGTCAAGCTCAAGTTAGAGGTGCCTGTTGTTTTGTCTCTCGGTTTAGGAACCAACCTAAGAGCCAGATATTCCTGTTCCCGACCAGTGCGACCGTGAATGTCCCCATGTATTCTCAGTATAATTTCATGGCCATTTTATAAAGCGCAGTAGTAGCTACCTCTACACAGTATAACATGGTGGACGTGACCGCCGTGGGACAGCCTGAGGCTGTGGCTGCCTCAGGAGCTGATCTCACCAGAGCCTCAGGAGTGAGTGGATGCGGGTTATTTCCGGACGTTGGGGCTGAGAAAGCCTGGGTTTCGGACTGAAAGGAACCAGTTTCCCCCCAACAGTTTTACACTGACTTCCATCACATCACAGCGTGAGTTGTAGTGTGTGACACTTCCGCTCCTGACGCTGTGTTAGATGTCATAATATAGGAGGTGTCAGGTGCAACCTGTTTTAAGGAGCTGAACATGCAGAGTACGGTCACTGGGTGGACTTCACAGGGAGAGGAGACCCATCCATGACCACAGAAATAGCAGTTTAACCTCCCATTTGAGACCCATGACCCAGAGCACTCTCCAATGTGTGGAAGCAAGCAGTCAGCGCCATAGTTATCTTTTCAGTGACCTGCGGCAATTGGCCAGGCCGAGCTGGCATTTCTTGCTTAAGATCCTCCGTCAGACACTCATTAGGTGCTGTGGTCCTTAGAGCTGATGGAGTTTGCTTTATCGCTTCTGGCGATACATCGTTTTACGTTCCGGAAGAGCTAAGTGTGGGCACAGGGAAACCGAGTCAGGAGCTAAGGAGTATTTCCTTGACTATAATCCTTCCCTGAGCTCCTTCCCAAATTCCTTGGTCTGGGATGTGCAGTTGTCTGAGGATTTTGGGCTTACTAAGTTGCCCACTAATAATAATTTTATGAGCTCTGTTTTTTTAAATTGATTTTTAGCGAGAGAGGCAGAGAGGGAGAGAAACATCTATCAGCTGCCTCCTGCACACCCCCTAGTGGGCGTCGAAGTCACATCAGGGGCATGTGCCCTGGCCTGGAATCTAACCGGTGACCTTTTGGTGCACAGGACGATGCTCAACCAACTGAGCCGTTCTTTTTGAACGACACTATAGATCTGTGAGAAACAGTAAAGCACTAGTTTAAAATGCACTTTAAAAAAAGAATAGGGTGATGTTAAAAAAAAAAAGAAACCTGAGGCTTTTGAGACATAGAATCCTGCAGTAGGTTTACACTTGAGCATATTTCTGGAGTCAGTCATTTCATTTCATCCAGTTCAACAAACACTTCAGCGAATACTAGATTCTTAGAGGTATGGGAGACATCTTGGGGAAGGGATTATGTACAACAAGAATGAAAAGACCCACAAGGCACAGAGAGAGGGCATCATTTTGATTGGGGTTGTTACTAAAGGCCTGCAGGTGTAGTTCTTGAGGAGAACGCTGGATTTTGCCGGGAACTGGGCCAAGCACATGGCAGCTGGAGAGAGCCAGGGTGTGTGGGTGGGGAGGCCCATGTGGGTGGGACGGGCCGGGGCTTGGATGAGGTTGGGGACAAGGCAGAGCTGTCAGCCTGTGGGGAGGGAGACCCTGGAGGGCCCAGAGGAAAGAATCTTCATACATAAAGAGTTTTTCTTACCGATTCATAGTTAGAGCTGCAATGCTCCAAGCTTGGTTTGTTTTTGGTTTTTAATTGTAGGTGCTTTCTATTTTTTAGAAACAAGGCTTGTTCAGGAAAAGGAGACGTTTATCACGCAGTCACAGTTCTGCGTATGGCCTTTGCGTCTTTTCGTGTTTCATGACTCCCTTTGATAAAGCTAACGGTTTTTAATGCACGTTTTAAAAACCACGTTTCCCTAGGAATGTTCCAAACGCGCCAACAACGGGAAGTTCACTCTCCGAGACCTGCTCGTGGTCCCAATGCAGCGCGTGTTAAAGTACCACCTTCTCCTGCAGGTACGTCACTTAAACCCCTGTCCGTTCATGCCTTCAACCAAATACTCACGAGGCGTCCACTGTGTGCCCGAGACTCTGTCGGGGGCCCGATCCCCTTGCAATTCTCAGTTACCAGTGGGGCGCAACGGGAAATAGCAGCTGGAAGCTGGCCTTCCTTGCAGCCAAGGTGAGTCTCATTTTTCACAAGGTCACACTTCCTGTCCCTCAAACAGAGCTGGCTCCAGTCAGATTTAAAAATTAAATAATCAGGTCAAAACAAATATGAAGACCCCTTCAGCCAAGTGCTTTGTCGTCAGTATTAATCCCTTACTAGATTCTCGAAAATGCTACAGACCCGGATTCAGCAGGTAATTCCGGGAGAACTTTTGCCTGATAACCATAACCTGCAGAGAGTTGTGTCACATTCTGGGTTGCTTTCTGCTCTAGTAGATTATAATAAGGCTGCATGTATTTCGAAGGGATTCTTGTTATAACCCCAAAGCTTACGGTGTCCACGGTCAGTCCTCTAATGAGGGTGGAGAGTCTTATAAATTTAATGTGATGGCTGTACCAGGAGACTCATTAGTTCTGCTCCAAAGGCACGTCCTACTGCATTAGCCTATCTCCTCTGCTGACGCTTGTGAAATGTTGTTTTAAACAGGTCTCCTACCTGCATGTGAAATATGATTTGGAGTCTTCAGTGCTTGGGACCTCTTTATATTACATTTCTTGCACTGAAGCCGCAGAATTATTAGTCATCCCTATTTTTGTTCTGAGAAATCAGAGAAATTCAAACCCTGATTATTTCTTTAAAACGCATTAAAACATGTATGAGACCTAAACTCAGAGCAACTCTACTCAAATTGGATTTTAAGAAGAAATAATAAGGAAGATGAAGGCGATCAGTTTCTGAGACATCATGGAACTAAAAACCTGTCCAAAATAAGAGAATAATTTATTTAGTAACTTTGGTTAATAAATACCACTGGAAGAGTTTAGAAGGTGCAGTTTTCAAGACACATCTGTTTGTATCACAACGTTTTAGACACACTTACTAAAAGTATCAAATGTGACTATACTTTTATGAAATTTAGCAAACTTTTTCCTAATTTCTCTTGGATTGTTTTGTACTTTAAATTTTGAAAGTATGTTCAGTCCCATGATGATGGGCCCTTGGGTTGCCTCCAGATCTTGGCTATTGTGAATTGCACTGTAACTGAACACAGGGGAGCACATATCCTTTCAAATGAGTGATCTGGGTTTTTTCGGGTATATTTCCAGAGCGGAATTGGTGAGTCTTACAAGGCAGTTCCATTTTAATTTTTGGAGAAATTCTCTACTGTTTGTGGTTGCGCCAAACCTACATAAAGGGTTAATTTTTAAATGTTTTCTTCCTTACGTTTGGGTGTTAATTTGATGAAAATAGTACTGAACTGTGTCTTCCAAATAGGAACTGGTCAAGCATACCGCCGACCCCACAGAGAAGGCGAATCTGAAGCTGGCTCTGGATGCAATGAAGGTAAAGCGATGCGCCCTGACCTTGCTTGTGTTTGTTATTCTTGCCTGAAAACAAGAGAAGACGCTCTGCTAATCCATATGCGTGGTATGCTGATATATTACAGCATACTTAAGTATTTGTGTAGTTTTGTTTCTGGTGGGGAGAGTTGAATAGTTTTTAACCGAAATAAATACACTTGCATGAATTTAATTGTTAGACAAAATCACATAAAACCAACAGGCAAATTAAAATAATTTAAAAACATATATTTTTATTGATTTCAGAAATAAAGGGAGAGGGAGAGAGAGACAGAAACATCAACGATAAGAGAAAATCATTGATTGGCTGCCTTCTGCACGCCCCACGCTATGGATCGAGCCTGCATGTGCCTCAGCTGGGAATCAGACTGTGACCTCTTGGTTCATAGGTCGATGCTCAGCCACTGAGCCACGCTGGCCGGGTGAAAATAATTTTCGTTATTTGTGAATGTTGTGACAACTTCCATCACCTCCAGGAATGATTTCATATCGTGGTGGCCTTTGACATTCTCTGCGTGGTCGCCAACAGAACGCTGCGGCTGTGTAAGCACCAGGTGGGCGGGAGCTTTCTCAGGTGAGGCCTCTGCCAGGCTTCCTTTTTCGGGTGCTGAGCGTCAGTGCACATGAGGTTCAGGCTGGGTGTCTGTGTTCAGGGAAACCCGGAAGTCAAGCATGACGAGTAGACAGAGGCAGACTCTCTGAGCACATGGGGGATCGCTAAGACCCAGCTTCCACGCTGTGCTGGACTGTGAAGGAAATACTCGTCCCTAATTTAAAACAGAAGCAAACGTGTCCTCAGAGCAAAACTCGAGGCGACTGTGAGACGGTGGTGATGCTTCTCCGTGTCTCTGGGCTGTTTCCCAGTGAGCCCAGCTGTCCGCCGGCTCTGCACCCACCCCGTCAGGGCCCATCACCCAGTTACTGATTGTTACAAAAAGTCATACCAAGGGTCTAATTTTAAGAGATCATTTATAGATACAGGCCCTGAAAAGTCAGACTTTCATTTAGAACAGAGTTCAGAACTGCCTTTTGTCCAAGTTCTGTTCCCGCTGCTTCAGATGAACTGAAGGGAACAGAGACGATGAAAAAGACCCCAGAACACAGAGAATGGAGAGCGCGTACAGTAAAAATAGCTGGCCGCCGGTGGAGGATGAGCTGCTGTTTCCTCCGAAATGAGAGCAGGCATTTAAAAATAGGCAGCGCCCGGGGAGCCGGGGGGCCGGGGGGCCGTGCTCATGGCGCCCCGTTTCCCCGAGTTCTCTGCTCTCTCGCCTCCGTCCCCTCTGCTTTCAAGGGGATCGTGATCGAAGGCTCCCAGGAATAGAGACGCGAGCTGATGGCAGAGAACAGTCCTGAGGGTTCCCGGTCCAACTTAGTTACCTTTCCCTCCCTCGCCGAGCCCTCCTTTCTGCCCTTACTCCAACCCGCCTGACATGTCCTCCTCTCTGGGTCGTTGTTACTGTGTTTGGAACCTACGTTATCCTGACCTGGTTCCCTTTCTGTTGTTCTGCGTGGGGTCACTTTTTTTTTTTTTAAATCCTGTTCTTCTCAAGGGTGAGGTAAGTGACACCTCTTCGGTCTTCCCAGCTGTCGTCCAGACATTAAAAAACAACAACATTTCTATTGATCTCAGAGAGGAAGGGAGAGGGAGAGAGAGAGAAACATCAACGATGAGAGAGAATCATTGATCGGCTGCCTCCTGCACACCCTACACCGGGGATCAAGCCTGCAACCTGGCATGTGCCCTGACCTGGAATTGAACCGTGACCTCCTGGTTCAGAGGTCGATGCTCAACCACGGAGCCACGCCGGCCGGGCTGTCCTCCAGACATTTGTAACTTGCTCTTGGTGAGCAGCTTTGGTTGATTCGAGGGCCATCGAAAAGCCACGGGTGCTTTTGCCGCTCCTGAAGGGAATGCCGTGTTTTCTTCCGGACAGCTCTCCTCTCCTCTCCCATCTCATGGCCCTTCTTTTTGTCCCCTTCTCTTCCCTCCGCAGGACTTGGCACAGTACGTGAACGAAGTGAAGAGAGACAACGAGACCCTGCGTGAGATCAGGCAGTTCCAGCTCTCCATAGAAAACCTGGTGGGTCATGGCCACTCCGTCCAGCGTCCCTACCCCACCACCTGTGGTTTTTGAAGAAAAGACACTTTACTTTCCATTTTCTAATTCTAGTTTATTTTCCCTGTTCCTGTTTGGCCACGTCCACACGGATGGCTCTGCCCCCACCGTCCCCTCACCTTAGTCACACAGCTTCTTCCCCAGCCATCCAGATCCTAGACCTCGGCGCCCTCACCGCCGTACATACTCCGGCTGATTCCCGTCATTTACTCATTTTATGTGTATGTGCTGGGTGGCTATTGTGCGCCTGACCTTGAGGTTGGGGCTGGGGCTGGAACTCTGAGCCCCATGGTCTCAGGGTGGAGGAGACAGGGAAAAGAGAGTTTAAAGATGCTATTTTGAGATAGTGCTGTGAACAGGGCGATACAACAGGGATGAAAAGGGGAGGCCTCGTTTAGATATGATGGTTAGAAAAGCCCTTCTGAGGTGGTGGCCCCTGGAACCTGAAGTCTAAGAAGAAGCCGCAGCACAGGGATCCGGGGGAAGGGGTTCCGGGCAGAAGCCACAGTGTTACTGGTGGTGGTGGGGCCCCCCACTGGGGACGGAGCCCACAACCCCAGGCATGTGCCCCCACCGGGAATGGAACCGTGACCTCCGGTCCATGGGCCGACGCTCAGCCACGGAGCCGGCGGGCTAAGTCAGAACTGGTCATTCTTGAGATCTCTGAGCAGGGGCACCCTCCTTGACTCTTTAAACCGAAGTGGGTCCCCGGCCCTGCATGCTGCCTTCATGGCAGCCACGCATTTGTAAATACAGACTTATTTCCCCGCTGGCTAGGAGCTCCACGAGGGCCGGGTCTATGTCATTTTGCCCTGTTACAGCGGCTGAGCCAGAGTGGATGCTCAAGAAATGCTAGTTCCTGCACCTTCCTCGTGACTTTAATTCTTAGGATGAATTCTCTCTTTGGGTAGCTGCCTTCCTCATTAGGGTTATAAGTAAAATTAGTTAATGTCCTCAGCCTGCTTCCCAGGAGGGCCAAGGACAGGCTGTTTTTGAAAGTGTATCATGTGGACCGGAGCCTTTTAGAGTAAGGGCGCTAAAAACGTGAAGGGATAAAAGCTGTCATGTAACAGTAGTTGTTCTTAATACACATCCTCACTGAGATTTTCTCTTTTTTTTTTAATGTGATTATGAAACACTGAGGTGTGTACATTTTCTGCTTTAGAACCAACCAGTGCTGCTGTTTGGCCGGCCTCAGGGAGACGGGGAGATCCGAATCACCACTCTGGACAAGCACACAAAGCAAGAACGGTGAGGAAGGGGGGCGGGCACTTTCAGAATAAGCCGTTCCTATCCGAGCCTGGGGAGGCCTCGAAACAGTTCTCCGGGCAAAGCCGGGCCACGAAGGAAGAAACCGATGGGCAAGCCAGCCCCCGTTCCCTAACCGTTCCTCCCGTGGACTCCGTAGGTGGTGTCCCCCTGCTTGCTGTCTGTTGGTTTGTCTAAGTTCTTAAGTAGGAAGTGGCAGCTAGAGAATGTCAGCTGGGGTCAAAGAAAGTGCACACGATACGGAGAGGAGAGGTAGAGGCACCATAGCACAGGTAACTACCACCACACAATTGTTTCATTTTTGGGGTCTGCATTTTAAAATAACGAAAATGATACCAAACGTCCGAAGGAAGACGTTTGAGCGAGGCTCACTGCGTGAGTGAGCCTTTCTGGAGGGGAACCGGCAGGTGGGGTCCTTGGAGATGAGGGAGCGTGGCCTGGTGTCCCAAATTATATGTGATCATCACTGGGTAGAAGTGGCCCTTTCCTGGAACCTTTGCAGATGAGGAAGCCAGCCAGCAGGGGGCAGCATCAGCTCTTGTTTCCACCTGATACCCAGGCTCCACAGGTAGCTTCCAGGAGACACACATCCTTTTAGCATCTCCAGGAAAATAGGCTTTGAAAGGGATGCAGGTGCTAAGGCTGCACGAATGTACCATTGTCATAGTTTCAAAAACGCGTGCGTATAAATCACGGAGAGTTTTCAAAAAGGCACAAGGATTGGTATCGGATGATGGGATGATAGTTTTTCTCCCCAGTTATGTTGTTTTTAATAAGAAAGGAGAAATAGCAGCATGTAAATTGAACCACAATTTCCTCTAGTTTGCGCTTTGCTCCTGTACCTCTCAGGCGGTGGTTCAGGCGGCTCCGGCCTGTAACCACCAGGCGCAGCCGCAGGGGAAGGGCACGGGGCCACCGTTGGGCCAGGTGGGCACCCGCTCAGCACCCCACTAGCAGCGTGACCTTCAGCAGATGAGCTCCCCAAGCCTCAGTTTCCCCCCCAATAAATGACAATACTAACATCTCGCTCCCCAGATGGCCATGGGGGTTTAAATTGTGTCAGTCATCCTTGTGAAAGCCATTCGGGCGGACTCCTAATAACATCAGTAGAAGCTAATTGCCGTTGTTTTCATTCACATTATTCTGTAAATGGTTAGCTTTCAAACTCAAACAAAAGTAATGGTTCAAGGGCAACACTTTTTATGGCTAATCTCTTTGTATCTTTTTTAAAAATATATTTTTTACTGATTTCAGAGAGAGAAAGGGAAAGGGAGAGAGATAGAACTATCAATAATTCATGAGAATCATGGATCAGCTGCCTCCTGCACGCCCCCTACCGGGGATCGAGCCTGCAACCCGCAGGCATGTGCCCTGACTGGGAATTGAACCCTGACCTCCTGGTTCATGGGTCAACGCTCAACCACTGAACCACACTGGCCTGGCTCAGTTGTTTGTTATAGCTATATTGAGTGTGCCTGTTGTTCTTATTAAAATTTTCCCTTTTTTTTGCCCTAGCCAGTTTGGCTCAGTAGATAGGCCTCGGCCTGCGGACCAAAGGGTCCTGGGTTCGATTCTGGTCAAGGGCACGTACCTTGGTTGCAGGTTCCTCCCTGGCCCGGGCCCCAGTCAGGGTCGTGCAGGAGGCAACCAATCAATGTTTCACATTGATGTTTCTCTCTGTCTTTCCCTCTCCCTAAAAATCTATGGGAAAATATCCTCGGGTAAGGATTAACAAAAATCAAAACAAAACAAAAAAAAAACAAATAAAAATTTTCCCCCTGTTTTTAAATAAGGAAACTGAGGAACAGCAAGGCCACTCATTTAGTTAAGGGTAGTGAAGGGCACGATGCTCACAGTTCATTCTTTCCAAGGTGCAGCACTGCCGTTGTCTTCAACTCAAAGGAAAAATGTTTGTGTGGTTTAATTCAGTTTATAAGGGAAGAACTAACACATGCTTCCAACCCATTTTAAATCAGTCTCTCTCTCTCTCAGGCACATCTTCTTATTCGACTTGGCAGTGATTGTATGCAAAAGAAAAGGTGACAACTATGAAATGAAGGAAATAATAGATCTCCAGCAGTACAAAATAGCCAACAATCCTACAACGGATAAAGAAAACAAAAAGGTGAATTCTTGGAGATTCATAACTGCGGTTCACTCATGACTTTGAACATTCAAGGATATGTGCTCTTCCATTCCCGGGAGGGGTAGCGCATTGGTTCAGGAGTTTCTGTTTCTGGAATTGATTAGGGGAAGGCATGGGACAGTGTCACAGCTGATAGGCTCATCCCAAATGCTAGTGACCAAGACAGACGCCTTTGGCATAGAAACGGTTGTAGATGTGAAGTTGACTGCGGGGATCTTGATTGGTCACAGTTTAACGTTACGAGAGGTCTGTGGAGGATGATGGTGGTGGTGTAGCGAATTTGGGAACGTGATGTTACTCATGCATGATTCGTATTAACCTGAGGAATATTAATTTTAACAGTGGTCTTATGGCTTCTACCTCATCCATACCCAAGGACACAATGGGTTAGAATTTTATTGCAAAACAAAAGATTTAAAGAAAAAATGGCTGGAACAGTTTGAAATGGCTTTGTGAGTATTTCTACTTTTAAAAGTGCTTCTTCCCTACTGCTTCCCTCTCTTATGAATAATGTGGCCCGTGTGTAGAGGCTGCAGGGACAGAGGCAGGGGCCTTGTGCTGCTGGCTCCCTGCTTAGCGACCTGGGTATCCGAGGACAGATGTTTGGGTGAATTTCTTCAAGAAAAAGAAAGAGGGCGCTCTGGCCTTCGGTTTGAATTTTTCTCCTGGGCGTATTTTAATTCTTCAGCTTTCAGCACCCACAAAAAGAATTATTCTAATGATAAACTCTTAATGTTATTACCATGTTTTTAATATATATGCATTTTTTAATCGAACAGAAATCACTCCCCCCAAACACATGTGCACACATATACACATCCATGCACGTATTTTGTCTGTAATAGGAAGATTGATTCCCCTCCCACCTGTTTGTTTTTAACTCATTTACTGTTTGAATCCTGGAGAAATTGCTGGGTGGATTGAATGCAGGCTTTCAGAGCTTGGCTTCTTTCAGGCTTCTTTCCTCTGATTAAAGTCGCAGCTCAACAAAGAGGTGGGAATAATTCAGACCTGTTCCCAAAGGCAGGGCGTGGAGAGATGTAATTACACAAGAACATGCCGTTGGGGGCCGGGGGTGCGGGGCATGGGGGGAGCTCCTTTCCGTCTTGATGCTTATGGATGCTGACCTGGCTGTGGAAGCACACAGGTCACCCTGAAACGGAAACTGTTAGTGAAGGTGGAACTCAGAGAAACAAGACCACCCACACGTCCGCCAGCAGCTTCATTTGTGTTCTAGCATTACGTATCGTTTGCAGACAAATTCTGTCTTCTTTTCCTTTGCTTTGTTTTAAGAAATGCCCCTGTTTTTATAAAATGGAGGTAGGATTAGATTGTTTTATTGTAGTTCTGCAGTGAGGAAATACAACTGACAGGATTGTGCAGGGAAAACATTTTAAAGCTTATAGACTGCCCTGGATTCAGCGATAAGCACCACCATGAGCTGGTTGCAGAGTCTCAGCCAAGTTACCTCACGCTGCAGAGCCTCAGTCTCCTCCTCTGTAAAATGGGGACAAGCGTGATCTGAACCGCAGAGTCCGGTGAGGCGAGGGCCGGCCAGACAGCCCCACAGGCGCGTGGTGCCCCACAGTAGCAGACCTGCTGTTACCACTGTTACTAACATTGTTTTGTATTTAGGATCCCAGGGCTCTACCGTGGGGTCTTCTAACTCTCGAGGGCACCCCCAGGACACTCCTCTTTTCCTTTCAATTTACTGTCCTTTATTGCACTAATGAAACACAAGAGGTTAATAGCTCTGGGCATTCACTCAGTGGCTGTACTGCAGACCCCTTCGGTTTGGGGCACGAATGGTGACCTCAGGAACGTCTGCCCAGGCCGAATCATAGACCTCGTTCGTGTGCTTCCTCCGTGAGGCTTCAGGTGGCAGAGGGCACCGGCGTCAGCAGGTGGGATGGGAATGGCGGGATGCCGGGCTGGGGCTGAGGTGCTAAGGCAGCGCCGAGCTTGCGCCTTTACTTCTGTGGGGAAGACGCGAGGCCGTGTTTGCTCCGGGGTCTTGTGCGAACGTGGCATCGTTAGGCGAGCAGAGGATCTGCCGTGGAGGGCACTTACGTTTCTTGCCCAGAGCAGGACTTGGCCTGTATGCTAGGGCGTGGCAAATGTAGGTCTACAGTTGTTCCTGTGGACAATAACACGATAATTAATAAATAGTAATCCAAGAACACATCCCGGGTTTTGGGTGCTCACTACTGGAAGCCTCCTTTGGCCCCACCCTGTATTTTGTTCAGTTGCCATAAGTCAGGCAGCTAAACACTGCATATAAGACTCGACAAGGTGGGTGGTTATGGCTTGGCTGGTGTGGCTCAGTGGTTGAGCATCAACCTATGAACCAGGAGGTCATAGTTCGATTCACATGCCTGGGTTGAGGGCTTGATCCCCAGTGGGGGTGCAGGAGGCAGCTGATCAATGATTCTCTCTCATTGATGTTTCTATCTCTCTCCCTCTCCCTCCCCCTCTCTGAAATCTACAAAGATCTTTAAAAAAGAAAAAGTTGTTTAAAGAATGACCTTAAATAACACTCTACTCAGGGTTGTGCTCAGGCATCAGGATAATCCACTCTTTCCTTCCCGCCCCTCTTCTTTGAAGCTCGCTCGGCGGGAAAGCCACGCGTCCCCCTTTGCAGGACCGTGAGACCTCGCTTGCCTTGCGCTCGGAAAAATAGAATAATCCAGTAAGTCCTGAAGCTTAAGACGTCGCCCACGGCTCACGTTTTGCTGTTTAATCCCATCATCTGTAGTTCTGGCATTCTCACTGTGAGAAGAAAAGAAAGCCAAGGCACCCTGTCATGCTCAGGAGGCCCCGTGAGCAGCAGGGAGGCTGGGGGGCTCCCCCGCCGGCCGGCTTCTTCAGTCCCTTCCGCATTGACACGGCCCGAGTCCTCCGAGCACATCCTGGGGTGTTGCTTTGAGGAGTGGAGCGCGGGGAAGGAGAGGGCGGCGTCAGGGGTAGAGCGGTGGGAAACCGAGGGAGGTGATACTTTAAGGCCAGTGCCATGGTCGCCAGTTCTATGTAGAGAAAATGGCCGTTTTGCTGTTTATAGGATGAGTGGATTGCTTTTATTTTTTTAAAAAAAAAAATTGCAACTCACCTCTAAGGCGTGACCACAGCTCTTAAATTAGGACATTGAAAAAGACGCCAGGAGAGCACGGATGCCAGTGCACAGGCAGGACCCAGTGACGCAGATCCTCTCCCGGAGGCAGCCTCAGCCTCAGCCCCTGGGCCTCAGCCCTCTCTCCAAGGACACCCCGCGGGCGCTGGCCTCCTGCGGCCATAACCACCTCCAGCGGTGAAAGGCGCAGGGAGCGCTTGGCGAAGCTCCGCAGGACAGGCCGAGCGAAGGGAGCAGCGGCGGCCCGCTTGGATAGGGCAGGAGAGGGATGCTTTGTTTTATTTTTATTTTTAAATACATTTTTATTGATTTCAGAGAGGAAGGGAGAGGGAGAGAGGGATAGAAGCATCCGTGATGAGAGAGAATCATGGATCGGCTGCCTCCTGCACGCCCACACTGGGGATGGAGCCTGCAACCCGGGCCTGTGCCCTGACCGGGAATTGAAGTGGGACCTCCTGGTTCATAGGACGATGGTCAACCACTGAGCCACGCTGGCCGGGCTGTAGTTTATTTTTGCTGTGGAGGTTGCTGGGACAGCTACTGAGCTGAACAGTGTTTGAGAGCTGCAGATGGCCGTTGGCAGAAAGAAAGTTTCCCACCAGGATTTAAGGGAAAAGAGGTCAGTGCCCCTGACTAAAGAATCAGGTATTGCATGTTTTAAAAATTCTTGCGGCACACCACTTTAAAATCGCTGACCTCGAGCATCAGACAGTTTCTTTAACTGACCCAGAAATAAGGCCAAGTTGGGTAAAATATGAAATAAAGAAAGTGAATAATAGAATGAGAAGACTTTTTAAATAAAGATTTTTTTATTGATTTTTTAGAGAGAGAGTAGGAGAGAGAAAGAGAAGCATTGATCGGCTGTCTCCTGCACACCCCCTACTGGGGATCGACCTCAAAATCTGGACATACGCCCTGACCAGGAATCGAACCGTGACCTCTTGGTTCATAGGTTGATGCTCAATCACTGAGCCACGCCAGCCGGACTGTACGTCAGTACTTTTAAATAGCAATTCTAACAAATGAAGGCAAGCACAAACCTTGGAATAGAGGTTATCGTTGGATGAAAACAAATTCTCTAACGAAAGATTTTAATATTGTGCTATCAATATCTCTATCTCAGACACAGATGATGATGGGTGGACAGCCTACCTTCAGGGCTGTTGGGGAAAAAAAATCAATGATCTTTTAAAAATTTGAGCTCTGATATTTGCAAAGTATTTCTGCTTCCAACGAGGGAAAGCATAAGAGGAAGATGCAAACAGAAAAAAATCCATCAATCTATCCCGAAAAAGAAGTGGCGCCCACAGGATAAGTCTCTACAAAGCAGAATTGTATGGTCCGGTCCTCACACAGGCTACAAGAATTCTGTCTGTGCTCTGGCCCCAGGGGGCATGTTTCGTGGAGCAGTGCCGCCCACTACTGGCCGCTTGGCTCATTGCCGTTTCAGAACTGTCAGATGAAGTCACTGATTTAAAGCAGTGATTTTCAGCCTTTTTCTTCTCCCGGCACAATTAACCAACTGCTACAATTCTGCGGCACACCAAAAATATATGTATTTTTCCAATATGACAGAGGATAGGTATGACTTTTTGATGTGTTGGCTGTTGTGGTTTTTTGATTTGACAGCCTAAGGGAAAAGAGGTCAGTGCCCGTCTGAACGGACAGGGATTGCGTGTTTTAAAAATTCTTGCGGCACTCCGGGTGAAAATGGCTGGATTAAAGTAATCAATCCATTCTCTACACAATAATACTTTGGCTTATTAGGTGTTTAATATCGAAAAGCCCTCCTCGGTAAAAGCTAGTCATCGGAAAGCCTCCTGGATCACACATTCTGTGTGCTTTTTGATCGCGGGTTCCTGGCCAATTCCTTTGGCTTTGCGAGACGGTATGTTCACAGACTGTTCCAAAAATAAGCATTTGGTGGTAATAAGTCTTAGCTTGTCTGATAAGGAAAGTATACTAGGCAGTGACTGAGGCTGATTGTCTGCATTTATCTCATTGTTTTTGGTCTCTGGGATGGCTTTGTGTATTCTTTTATTACTAAAGACTCAAACAAACAAACAAACACAAAACCCCACAAAAGATGGTATGTTCGACCACATGGGCCTGCTCTGTTTGTAGGATGATGACTAAGGTCTATGCAGTGAAACCTCAGACTCTCTAAGCTTTCGTTACTGTTCTTCGTTAACGTCATCCTCACTGCCTTCCCTCTCCTCCAGATGATTCCAGTGATTCCCAACGCTTACACTAATCATTAGGCACTTAACCTCCAAACACCTTCATGAAATCAGGTTTATCGGCAATTTTACATAAGTGTGAATT